CTTAAAAAATAATGTATTGATATTTTTTTAATTTTAAAAAGTGTATGTTGCAATTATATCATTTCTTTGAGATTAAGGGTGAGCATCGGTGCGGTTTTTCACCAAACCGCACCGAACCGGAAAAAAACTGAAAACCAAAAATATATATTTTTCCAAACTGAACCGCACCGAGCTTGGAAAACCGAACAAATCGAACCGAAATTTTTGGTTTGGTTTGTGCGGTTCTAATTAAACCGCAAATAACTAAAAAAAACCCAAAATAAATCAATTTAAAGACAAAATTAGGATTCTTACCTTCTTGGTCACAGTGACGAAAGAGCAAATTGGAAAAAGGAAAGAAGTTCTGTAGGCAAGATTCAAGAAATAGAATTTTAAGTGAATAAGTGAAGTTGAGACTACTAACCTCTCCACCTCTTTCCATCCGAACCAAAAGGATTTTTGAATCTTCATCACTCCCAATTCTCCCAATTCAGTGAAAAGAACCTCAAGTGCACAGATTTTTCGACCTTACAACCTTCGGGCACATACACGACAATGAAATCCTAAGCACCCATACTATCGAGTTCAATCACACAATGCTCCTGCAAATACGCCCATTGGGAAGCTCGGGTAGCTGCGTATTATCCACCAAATAAACATTTGAGGGCATAGAATTGTAAGTGTTACTTACTGTAAATTATTTTTTTAATGGTAATTGTTATTATTACTTTATAAATGGCAAAGTGGCCCAAATACTTCAAACCAAAGGCCCAAACATGAACAACAAAAGCTTGTCTCCCTGCATAGTCTAAGGCCCAAACATGAACAACAAACGAATGTGAAAGATATTATGATAAACAATGCTAAAATCATTGCAACAACCAAGATGGTCAATAATTTGCAAACAATAGGTTGCAACAACCAAGATGGTCAATAATTTGCAAACAATAGGTTATATAGTTCGTTTGTTTACAAATAAACAACATTGAAAAAAATCATTCAGGGCATGATAAAGTTTCTTTCAGAGGTGATTGAATACCTTATAAGATTATACAATCATGAAGTTTAACTATGTGTTTGGCAGAAATGTTTATAAGTTATTGAATAATATAGACGTTTTATCAAATGAATTAAGAAGAATTTTACAGCACTATTGATGTACTGAGCTCTAACGAGTATGAATGTTTCTTATGAAAACGTCAAAACCAAACTGAAAAAAAAAAAAAAATCACTCTTTAGTCATCTAACATAATTAAATAAAATAAATAATGCATCTATAATATACATTAGGTCCTTATTTAGTTAGTTAGTATTTTTTCCATTAGAAACTATATTTTTGTTGGAGTTGTAATATGTTATTTCATTCTTTTTATATTAGGACATCACTATGTTATTTAAAAATAAATAAAAAAACAGTAGAAGCTCATTTATTCTATATTTTACTTCATTCCTGCAATGATATATTTAATAATTTAATTAATTTATTTTTCTGAATTCAATTGGCAAATAACATTTATCACTACGTGCGATGCACGTGCACTTTATTTGTATAAAAAAAGTGTTATGTGAAGAACCTTTCGCATAAAACTTAATATAAAAAAGTGTTATGTGGAGAACCTTTAACATTACACTTTTTATATTAAGTGTTATGTAAAGAACCTTTCACATAACACTTTTTTATATTAAGCGTCAAGTGAAGAACCTTTCATATAACACTCGTTTATATTAAGCGTTACCTGTAATTTGATCGATTAACATTTTACAACAGAAGTTTTATCTGTGAGGTAAAGATAATATATACCATTTTTCTAAACAAACGTTATCCATGTGTTTTTTTTTTAAGTTTTTTGTGCCTGTATTCATTAGCCCCGGTACCAGTAAACAAAAATCAAGATACTTAATCATAAATCTCATGTACCAAGAAGCAAGAACCAACAAGAAAAAAATTCAAGCATGAATATAACACAAACTTACTAACACCATCCACCACATTGTGCTCTTGTATATACAAGAAATAATGTGGCACAAAATCATGGAAGAATCGTATCTCCAATTCCAACAAATCAGCAACTAATATACCTAGTAAAAAATTCGCCCACTATTAGCCAATATCCATACCAAGAAAGTTTTGATGGCATCCTCCTGCATCGTGAAATTTATACATATATTGATATCAAATTCAAGTTATTTCTTCACATTTTATAAACAAGATAGACAAGAAAATGTAATATGAATATAACAAAATACATACTTGTTAAATACGAAAAACATGGCTCGAAAGGCAAATTGTAAATCCTCCCTGCAGTGAAGTGTAGCCGATACAGTACAAAGACCTAAATTAAACAAACACACGGCTGCATGAAATCCTCACATGAAATTGGGTTTAGAAAAATTTAACCATAAAGAAGCTTTTTACTTATTTCAAATTAGAGTATTTATATTTACATCCCTTTTCACCCTCGATCATTTAACTAGTGCAACTAACACTAAATAGAGTTCTGAAAGTATGATAATTATATTCGAAATATTACTCTCAACAATAATAACTGAGTATAACTCTCATCGTGGAGAGGTGTATAATCTCTTATTTCTTGATCATCATGATACTTAACCTCCAACAAATCCTATAATGGTATTGTCCAGCCTCTTATTAATTATCATATAACGTAATAGAACCTTCACATCAACGAACTTGCAATTAAACCAATTTTTTAAACTAAAAGAATAAGTACTATGTGCTTGGTGGTTCAGCTCTCCTCAATTTTCTTCAGTAGTAGCTGGATTGTCTCAAAAATATATATATATATTTTTTTTGACCGGAACGATAGAGGTACTATAATAAACCAAGCGCAATAAGTGCGAGTAAAAATACAAAGCTCCCAACGGGAGAATAAAAAACCAACCTAAAACTGAAAACTGGGAGGACAGGTCAGACGACCGCCTAGAAACCCGACTCTAGCAACGCTAGAAACCAGAAAACAAGACTCACAAGACCACTACTACAACCAAACACAGATAAAAAAACTACAAAGCTCCCCACAGGAGAATCGAGACGAGAGCTGCTCCCCACAAGAGAATCAATGTTGCTCATGCTCATACTTACAGGGATCAACTGATCCAAACCAAAAACACAAGGACCGAAACTAAAAAGCTCCCAAAGGAGAAACACAAACACAGACAACGGACACACTAAACACAAAAACAAAAAACCAAGCCCTTCCACTGAAGCATATCCGAGATGAACCGACAGACACCAAATTGACCCAGGAAGAATCCCTTAGCCCAAGAAAGCTGACCCCTCCACCGCCTAAACGCCTAGCTGAGCCGGATCCCACGCATCGAGATACTCCAGCAAAACCGATTCTCCCCGAAACCGCAACACCAGAAAACGCCCAGACGCCGTAGTATCGAGCCGTCTAACACCACTAGCAACCCGGTACCAACAGCAAACACACCAGGACCCAACGCCAGAGAGGGTACCTAACCATCGCAGTCCGGGTCGACTAACACCACTAGCAACACCGTACCAGTCGGTAAGTACCCTGGGACCAGCATCTGAGTACTTGGGAGGGGAACAAATCCGAAGAAGTCGCCCTAGCTACTCCGGCCAGAAGCCGAGAGACGCCGGAGCCGCACCCAGTCCCTTCCCGCAGCACCACCGCACCCGACCTCGCCTAAAATCCACCACCACTCCCCACAGCAACACATCCCCGCAGATGCCGTCGAGAAACAGAGGCGGAGCAGCACCGCAGAACCAGAGCTCTAGAGTCGCGCTCTCACCATAAATCTGCACCGGAGCATCAGGCTGCAGCTAAGCAGAACCGCAACAACAACATAACAGGAAGGCGTGGATTTGGGCGAACATCGGTTAAAATCGCATAAGGGCGACAACGGGAAAGGGCCGAGTGGCCAGAGGACGGCGGCCGGTGGAGCCTGGAAGCCCTGTGGAAGGCAGCAAAATGGAGAGAGCGGCGCCTAGGGTTAGATGATCTTGGGGGAGACGATTCTTTTATTTTTCTCAAAAATATATTTCACATTTCATTTGTTAAATATAAGACCTTAAAATAGAGTTACCTCGGCTAGTTTTCCCGCGAAATACATCGGATGAAACGAACGTAGGATTTCCTCACCTTCTTGCTCTCTATGAGAACCCTAGTTCCTCGCGTAGGATTTTCTCACGTCCTTGCTCTCTTCTCCTGCTTGGTTTTTTATGTGTGATTAGCAGTGTCCAGATTTAGGATTTCTTGCCTTTTTGTTGCCATTTATTTGGTTCACATTTTTTCCTTTTCTTTTTCGCTTCTTTCTGTGTGTTTTGTCAAGTGTGGGTTCAGTTGGTTCCTTTTGTTGGTGTTGGTGTTGGTGTGTTTGGGTCTTGTCTATTGAGGCTTGAGATTTCCACTTACTATTTGCTATGTGAGGGTGTCAGGTCTGCGATATGGAGATGGATTTGGCAGATAGACTAAAGAAATTTGTCCTCTCAGATAAAGATGAACAAGGATGAAAGCATCAGAAATAAAGAACTGCGATACAAAACAACCAGAAGATTAGATGTTAATAAACCTCAAAGGAGGAGAAAAGTACAGAAACAGAAAATAGTTTACAATACAGTGAAAACAGAAATCAAATAGAGGATAAGCAATACAAAGAAAACTAGGAACAAAAATTCCTAAGCAATATAAAGTAGCGCAGGTTGGTGGCAGCCGGATGTCATCAAAAGGCTAACATGTCCTGAACAACAAAGGACCAATATCGATGGCCACTTACGACCAACTTCAATGAAGTGAGAATGTCGAGGCCGGTAGTTTTTTTGCTTTTGGTTTTACTATCAGATTCATAAACATCCCTCAGTGTTTTAAGATTAGTGTGAAATGCGCGTATAATGAGCTGAGGGTGTGTGAGGCTTTCGGTCTGTGCATCGATAGTCTCATAATATATTCCCTTCGTGTCAATCTTGGTGTGTAAAACGCAGAAATTCAAAGCTCCAGAATCACCATGGTCAAGGGGGGCAGCAGCCCGATATCCAGGCCCAAAAGGCGGATGCTAAAAGACAAACCAACTACATAAGCGACATTTAGTATCATTGGAGTCGAGCCGCTTCAAATCATAGATGCCAGCAGCAGTGAGGCAAAATTCAGCATCTCTAGTAACGGAGAGGGGACCGTTGCGCGGAAGATTACGGATGCCAAATAATCCATCAACTCGTACCCATCCTCTTCCACCAGCAAGATATTTACTAAGACGTGTAGCGAAACCCCAAAAAAATCCAAACAGAAGTCTCCTTCTTCTGTTTGGAGAAAAAAAAGTATGAGTAGGCTCATGTAGTGTATATCCTATGACCCGAAACCTCTTCGCATTAAGACCTAACTGGGGCAGCTCACGACAAGAACGACAAGTTATAGGATCAAACAGCTCGAAATCCACGTTCACTGCATTATGATCAAGCTCGATTAATCTGGAGAAAACTAAGATTTTACCATCGGAAGTGGGAATGGCCTTAGGGAAACACTTAGGGTGCAGGACATGAGGGGCTATTTTCAGTGCAGGTGGCTTTAAATCCACAGTAAAATCATCATCAGTGTATTGAGGTAGATTAACAGCAGCAACTGAGGACCTATGAGCTTGCGAACGAGAATATACTCCACCAGAAATTCCGTCAAATAGGAAGAGGGTGGATCCCACGACACATGAAGTATCGGCAAGGAAACACTCACGGAAGAGACAAAATGTGGGTTTAATCGGTTTGAACTCCTCGCCGGCGCCGGCGGAGATGATGTCAGCGTCCTTATCTTTTAATAAATCCAGATCCAATATCTCGATGAAATACTTTTCTGGCTTATCATACCCAGAGCAGCGGAAGGCGAGACAAACCTTTGTCCTAAAAGGATAAACTGATGATGACCATGATTGATCCAGACGTATCCTTTTAGGAGTTAGAGGTGGAGGTGGAAGTGGAGGCGGAGGAGACCTGGCGGAGGACATCGAATTGTGTGTTTGAAACTTATTTTCAAACACACAATTCGATATCCTCCGCCAGTCCTCCGTCTTCACCCTCGCTTCTGCCTCCACCTTCTAAAAGGATACGTCTGGATTGATCATGCACATCATCAGTTTATCCTTTTAAGACAAAATTTTGTTTCTTCTTTTACTGCTCTGCGTATGATGAGCCAGATAATATTTTCATCGAGATATTCGTTCTGGATTTATCAAAATATAAGGGCGCTGACATCATCTCCGGCAGCGGCGAAGAGGATTTCAAACCGATAAAACCCACATTTCGTCTCTTTCTTGAGTGTTTCTCTGCGGATTCTTCTTGTGTCGTGGGATCCACCCTTTACTTGTTCGACGGAGTTGATGGTGGAGTGTTTTCTCGTTCGCAAGCTCATAAGTCTTCAGTCGCTGCTGTAGATCTATCTTCATACGCTGATGATTTTACTTTGGATTTGAAGCCACCTGCATTGAAAATATCCCCTCATGTCCTGTACCCCAAGTGCTTCCCTAAGGCTATTCCCACTTCCGATGGTAAAATCTTAGTTTTCTCTAGAATAATCGAGTACGATTTTGATTCAGTGAACGTTGATTTCGAGGTGTTTGATCCTGTAATTGGCCGTTCTTTCCGTGAGCTGCCCCAATTAGGTCTTAATCAAAGGAGGTTTCGAGTCATAGGATCTACGCTACACGAGCCTACTCGTACTTTTTTTCTCCAAACAGAAGGAGACTTCTCTTTGGATCTTGCTGGTGGTGGAAAAGGATGGGTACGATTTGATAGGTTATTTGGAATCCGTAACCTTCCTCGCAGAGGTCCCCTCTTTATTACTGGGGATGCTGAATTTTGCCTCCATGCTGATGGCATCTATGATTTGAAGTCCAACGATACTAAATGCCGCTTGTGTAATTGGTTTGCTTTTGAGCAGCCGCCAACTTTTGGGCCTGGATATCAGACTGCAGCCCCCCTTCACCATGCTGATTCCAGAGATTTGCATTTCTTTGTTTTACAGACGAAGCTTGACACTTATGGAATATATTATGAGACTATCGATGCACAGAACAAAAGCATCACGCACCCTCAACTCATTATACGCGTATTTCACACTAATATTAAAAAACTGAGGGATGCTTATAAAACCGATAGGGAAACCATAAGAAGAGGCATTTCCAACGTTGACATTCTCACTTCATTGAAGTTCGTCGTAAATGGCCATCGCTATTGGTCCTTCTATGTTCAGGACATGTCAGCCTTTTGACCACATCCGCCTGCCACCAACCTGCGCTACTTTTAATTTCTTCTCGGTTTTCATTGTATTGTTTATCCTCTATTTGATTTATGTTTTCACTGTATTGCAAACAATTTTCTGTTTCCATACTTTTCTCCTCCTTTGAGGTTTATTAACATCTAATATGCTGGTTGTTTTGTATCACACTTTTCTATTTCCAATGCTTTCGTTCTATTCGGATGTCTAATAACATCTTGTTTCCTTCAATCTATTGTAGTGACGTGTAATACGTCTTATTTTAGATCTGTTGAGCCCAATCTATCAGCTGCACTACGTTCAGAATGCTCTTGGAAGTGGTGAGTGTTTGTCCCATTTTTGTTGCATTTTTTGTTATTATTTTATAATTCTTTTTCTCCCATTTTGAGTCATTTAGTTGGTTTTAGAATCATTTTATCGTTTATTGTATGTTTTGTGTTGTCTTGAGTGCCCCGGTAATTATTATGTTTTTTCCGGTAGTCTTCCGTTTGTATTTTCGTTTTTGGTGTGTAGGTCGGGAGCTTCGGGAGAACAGGTTTCTGGTAATTTTTTGGGGAAGTTTACATCATTAGATAGAGGGGTTCGTTAGCTATGCGTAGAAAAAAATGGAATCGAATTTTGAGTCCGAACAAGCATAAACGAGCCCGAGACGCGAAGAAGGGCGAGCTTCCAGGCACCGCGCGCGCGCCGCAGCGCGACGCATGCTGCGACCCGGACAGAGACACCCAGGATTTCGCGTGTCGCGCCGCGATGCCCACCGCGGTGCGACAGACCATTCCGCCGCAGCGCGACACCCACCGCGGCGCGACACCTGCGCATCCCAACTTATTTTTCGACCTGTGTTTGCTCAGTTTTTCGATCCTTATATAAGGGGACTTGTTCCCAACCCAAGAAAAAGGAGAACTCTCGACCGGGCGAAAACCTAGGTCCAAGAAAACACCACGACACCTCTTTTCTCCTTCCTCTCTTCTTCTTTTTCATCTTTCACCTTTCTTTTCATCTTTATTTTTCATTTAATTCTTTTTCTTCGTTAAGATTAAGCTTGTAACTCATTCAACATGTGGATTTGAGATTAATCGTAAGTTTCTTTTCTCTTTTTATTAATTCATGAAAATAGTTAATTTGAGGAGAATGATTGATTGTGTTGAATCGAATTTACGTAGCTAATCTTATCGCTAGGGATAGGGGATGATTTTCTTGTTTAACGTGCATTTGTCGGGCTTTGATTTGTTCATGCTTGTGTGAGTTGAATTGATTAGGAATTGATGAATTTGTGTTCGACAGATTGATATAATCGGAAAGTGACATTTCAAACTTGTTATTGATGACAGTTGGATGTTAATTTGTTGAGTTAGGGTTTGTCAATTATTTATGATTAGTTGATTAAACACCTTCTCATTGACTTAGCGGCTTTCAGAACCGAAAGGGGAGAAGTCGTAGAAATAGGCTCACATGAGATAGATGATTTCGTAATTGAATAGTCTATAGGTTTTTTATTAAAATACGTGCGTGTCGATGACTCGTCCCTTGTTACGAGAAGTGAATGGGATTGGTATAGTTGATTTGTTTTGTATGCCCAAGCTTGTACGTCTATGCTCAATCCTTTGTTACGAAGAGTTATTGGGAGTGAACCGCTAGATGTCTAAGCGAGAGTGTCAATCTCGAACCGAACGATTAATTGCCTGATTTTGCTAGAACTTGAATTAATTGTCCCCGATTCCCTAGCTTCTCATCTTTGTCTCGTTCTTGTTTTTAGGTAGATTATTGCTTTTTATTATTTCTTAGTTAGTAATTATTCAAACCCCCCTTATTTGATTAGGATGTTAGGATTATTTTCCTTCTTATGTGTTGTCAATACCAAAGCTAGATTCCGAACAGCCTTCCCCGTGAGATCGACCCGGGGAACAAATCTTTTGATTCGGTACTCGGTAAAAAGAATAATTTGTGCTACAACAAATTTGGCGCCGTTGCCAGGGAAGGCAAGTAGGATATTTGGTTTTGATATTGATTTTATTTTCCGTGTTTTTCTTATTTTCGTGATTTTCGTATTTTTGTTCTCTCCTTTGTGCATATTTGTTTTTCTTTTTGTCTTCCTTGTTTCTGTCTTTTTTTTTTTTCTTTTCTTTTCGTGGCCATGTTTGGGTTGTTCTGCTTTGGTGTGCAGGTATCATGAGCTACAACTGTGTTTACCCCTTACCGCACACCCAACCTTGGGTTAACGAGCCGAGCTACCACACCGAGGTACCAAACTCAGTCATACCCATACTCTTCCGAGCAATACCGGGATCCCTTCCCGGTCGAGCAATATTATGAGTCTCACGCATTCAACGAGAAGCTCGACCGTATCTATGAATTTGCAACATCCCGGTTAGCTCAGAAAGAGGAAACCGCAGCCCAGTGTGCCCAATCACCTCCATTCTACGATGCTTGGGACTATGGCCAGACTTGGTCATATCCTTACGAGCAACAGTGGGATTCTAGGCATGTTGAGCAGTCATGTGAGTCCCTCGAGGATTCCTCAGAGTACAATGCCAAGATCGACCAAGTCCTCACTCTTTTGGAATCCCAGGCGGCCCGTAAGAGCAACTCTGAGTCCAGAATCGAGGAACTTGTGGAGCGCGTGCAAGCTTTAGAGAATCGAGTTGACAGTGTCCCTCCCGAGCCCGCCGCTCAAGGCGAGTCTATACATAGAGATGAATCTCGGGAGGCTATTTTGTCATACGATGAAAAGGTCGACCTCATCCTTGCTCGTATATCTGCCCTGTCCATTCGAGATGTGGCCATTAAGCTCGGATGTGCTAGACTGAGCACGAAGATGGAGACCCTTACCGCACATACCGACTCAATTAAGGCACCAGTCGAAGACCCAAGAAGAGGATGATATTCCCCAACGAGACGTTGATGATATTTCAGATGAGGAGATCTACGGGCTTGATTCTCAAGTCCCTCCTCCCATCTCCGAGTTGGAGCATCTGTCTCCAAGGCCGCTACACTGTGTTACGAAATGGGTGGGATTTAGTTCGACTTGCTCCACAGTTGAGCTTATACTTCCAGAGATTGATGACAGAGCTCGCGTGGGAAATGCTCTGCATTTAGTGTTGGGGATTGCTCGTGCCCAAGACCGCTTTATCCAGAACATGACCATCCAGAACCACCATGCCCGCCTTCTAGCCACACTGCCTGGGCCACCACTTCTGGAAAATACGAAGACGTGGCACGACTGTCATTTCTTCTTAGATCCCGGCTGAGTTCCCTACAGGTTTCGTCAAGCTAATGACGTTAAACAAGCGCTTCTTGGGAGGCAACCCAAGGGACTTACTGCTTTCTTAGATATTTTTTCTTTCTGCCTTTTAGTTTTATCTTGGAATAAAGGGAGTTTGGAGTTTCGTGATTTTCTTAGCAGGTACGGGTTTGCTAGCTCGAGCAGCAGGAATACTGGGGTTCTGGGCTGCGCGTAGGCGAGCGACTTGAACGTGGATGTTTGTTCTCCTCGAGGCGTTTCGGTTTGCACACCTTTTCCTTTTTCTCTTTTTGAGTTCTTTTTCTTTCGTCTTTTCTTTTGAGTTTGTGTCTCGTGATAGCTGCTAGTTTGGTTCATTATTTGAAATTGCTAGGTCCTTATTTTTCCGGTTATGTGTTGAAGCAATGAGGTCATTGCCTCATTTTAAGTGTCGGGGAGTCTACTTGGATTTTGCATGCTTATGTGGTGGACCGGTCTAGTTTTAGGATTTT